GGGGAGGGAAGGGTGGGGGCCGCGGGACGAGAGCTGGGAGCGAGGGCGATTGGGGGTGCAGCGGGCGGACGGCGGGGCTGCGCCGCGCAGGGGTGCACTGCGAGCACGTTGTGTTGCGGCACAGCCGCAGGCTGCGGGAGCACACCTGCAGCACTCTCAGGACACGAACGTGCAATCGCAAGCATGCAGTCACGGAGAACACACACACACACACATACACACACACACACTCACACACACACACACACACTCACACACACACGTTCTATCCTCTCCCTCCCTCCATCAGATGATCATCGAGAAGGACGGCCTGGGCGGCCTCTTTGGCCGCGGCCTGCGCACCAAGATCATTGCCAACGCCATCCAGGTGCGGACACAGCTGGGGTGGGGGGCGCTTGGGGTTGTCTTCTGGAGGGGAGCGGTTGGGCGGGGGACGGGCGCTGGAGGAGCAGAACCACACCTACTGTGGCCCAGCGGCGCTGCGAGGTGGCCGGCGGCCGGCGGCCGCGCCGTCGGCCCTGCTTGTGGCCGTCCCCGGCGGCCGCGGTCGCGACTTGGCTGCGTCGCGGCGTGCGTGTCGATCATCAGGGTATGCGTCAGCACGAACGCGCTCGCGTACGCCTTGGTCCGTGGGTAGTCGCAGGTCCCATGCGTACCTGCACGAGCGCGCGCATGCACGCGCGCGCGCACACACACACACACACACACACACACACACACACACACACACACACACACACACACACACACACACACACACCGCGCCACCCCCCCCCCAGGGTGTGATGTTCAGTGTGCTGTGGCGCCTGGGCCAGGACCTGCTGAGGGAGCGCGAGAAGAAGAAGGCCGCGGAGGACGCCGCCGCCGCCGCCGCCGCTGCCCCCGCCTCCAAGAAGAAGTGATCTGGGAGAGATGTCCGGATGTGAGGAGGGCCCGCGGACGATCTGGACGCCTTCCCGCCGGCGGCGCCGCAGCCGAGTGTTGACCCTCGGGCTTGGGATCTTGCTGTGGCCGGCGCCTGCGGGGCTGGCGGGGGCTGGAGGAGGATTCAGAAGAGTTGGGAAGCGGGCAGGAGTCGCGGATTGTTGGTGTGGTGTGGTGGCGGCGCTGGCAGGACGCCCAGGCGCGCCCGCGGGCGCCGCGGCGGGGCGAGAGCAAGCCGGTATCGCTGGCGGGGCGCACAGCAGGGGCGCGCCGGCCGACTGCGTGCAGCCGGGGCTGCGTGCGCATCTGTCCCATTCAGCCGGGCCGGACCCTGCCTGCTGCGCTGGCGGCGGGCGGGGGGCGCACCGCGCCCGGACACATTGCAATTCATGGCACCTGCCCAGCGCACGCGCGCATGTGGCGTGTGCCCCACCGATTTTGACCCCCGGCATGCACGCGCATATGGTGGCCTGGCGAGCCACACCCCGGACTTTCGGCCCACCAGCGACCCGCAGGCAAGCCAGATGCACTGTCGGCGCGGCGCAGGCGGGCCGTGCCCTTTTTTAGGCAAGCACTGTGATCCCTGACGGGCGTGCCCAGGCATGCGCTGCCTTGATGCACAGTGCCTGCACTAACCCGACACTCACACATTAATCACCAAAAAAATCACAGCGACAGTGATTGACACACAAGGCGGGCGTGCACTACGTAACTATGGCGTCAGCGTTGTGCCTGCATTAGTGGTGTCGGGGCAAGCGCGGTGGGGTGGTCCGTTTCAGACGGCCCATCACTCTCCAGATACGCATGGGGCCCGATGAGGGGGTGATTCAGGGCCAGGGGTCCTGGGGACGCGGCACCGCGGCCCACTGTAGACAGCCCAAAGACTGTCTATTGTGCTGGCACCTTACAACGGAACAGCCAAACAAGAGCGCAGCCACGGCAGCCACTGCAGCACCGTCACGCGGCCCGTTTATGACAACATGACCGGCTCTCTTGGTTCTTTGGCGCCACCCCGATCACAGCTCATGAGGGGCCCAAACGGCCTCCAGCAGCCACACACACCAGCCACTGCGCGGCCGGGGAGCCGTGGCGCTGCTTCTGGGCACGTGCATGGTGCCTGCCAACCACCGAACCCAACCAAGCCTTAGTCTATATCTTTACATCCCCACTGTCTTTGCAAGCTTGCAAGGCCAGCCAGAGATCAGCTGGCTTTGTTTCCTGGGAAGCAAGCAAAGCCCACACAGGCCACGGGGACTTGTGCACAGGGCAGTAGTACGAATATCCCTTCCGCTGTTCAGGCACAGAATCTCGTGAACCGCATGCAGGCGGTCTTCGCCATCGGAAATGGCCCTTGCCCCAAGCAACACAGGCAAAGCGACTTGCAGATTATTGATCAACCAGCAGCCGGCACACTAGCGCGCCATGATGTGGCGCGCTGCGGCTGCTCGCACATCGTACAGCTGTGCCAGTAAGAAGCGGAGCAAACAGCAAAACGAGCTGCCACGCGCAAAGAGTCTACTGTTGGAGCAATGTGGCAGTGACGCGATGTTGGCATGTCCAGACGTGTCAGCCGTGGCCAGGATTATGCCAATTTCCATGTTGACACAGTCAGTCAGGGATCTCTCACCTGACTTTTCCACAGCAACGTTCCCCAAGTACGTCACCATTGCCATAAGCAGTGGTAGTATCAGTGCAAACCAGGCGATTCAGCATCAACCCCTTGACCGCAAATTGACCGCCAGCAAACAGCCTTGCAAGCAAGGTAGGGTGAATGAATCTGCTCATCGTGCCCCCTAAACTGTGAGCGACGCATTGGTGATGTGGACTCTCACACTCGCGCCGACTCAACCAAGCAATTGCTGATTCACTGCGTGCTGCAGGCCTCATACTCGAGGCCTGTGGCGTCGCCTGAGCAAGCGCCCGCCGCCGGCGCCCGCCTCACGCGTCCACCGCCCACTCCACGCACCGCGTCAGCCGACCAAAGCTGCGCCCGCCCTCGGCACCGTACCCGACCAGATCCACGCACCGGTAGCCAAACGCGGCCGCGAGCGCGTCGGCCCCTTGGGGGCTGAGGTCCACACTCGAAAAAACCGTCTCTCCCACCAGGTCCGTCGCTGCCTTTGTGACTTCGAACCCCAGCCTCGCCCCCTGGAGGCCGCCCCCGGACGAGACGGCGGCTGCGTCTGGCGCGTCGAACACGAGGCGGCTGCCCGGCGCGCTCAGCGCGCGCAGTTCGCGCAGGAGCGCGGCGATGGCGGCCGCGGGGAGGTACATCATGAGCCCTTGCGCCAGCCAAACTGTCGGTTTCGAGGGATCGAAGCCCTCTGGAAGCAGCGCCCCCCGCAGCTGCCGGGGCGACGAGAGGTCGGCCGAGACAAAGGCGGCGCCGGCCGCGGCGCCGGGCGGCAGCGTGGCCGCGACCAGCGCCCGCTTGGCTTCCGACACGCGCGGCAGGTCGACCTCGAAGAACTTTGCGGCGAGAAAACCGCCTTTGAAGCGGTACGCCGACGAGTCGTAGCCGGCGGCCAGCACTACAACCTGCTGGGCCGCGCCCGCCGCAAGGGCCGATGCGAGGCGGGCATCGAAGAAGCGGGCGCGCGCGGACATGACAGCGAGGAAGCGGCGGGCGAGCGGCGCGCGCTCGGCGAAGGGGGAGAGGCGGCAGTGCAGGCCGAGGGCCCTGCAAAACTGGCAGGGTGAGGGGGTAGGGGTGAGGAGGGACGGGGGCCTGTGGGGTTGCGTAATAATGCGAGCTTGTGACGTGTTTGCACACAGGGTGGAACTGGCGCGCCGCCCGACTTTGTGCCGCGGCCCAGCCAGCCGATGCCGACGCTGCGCTGGCGTGCCGGCCAGAGTGCGACGCCGCTGGGCTGTTGAGGTATTTGACGGGCGCCCCGTGATCAACGCCAGCCACGGCCCTCACCAGTGGCGCGACGGGGTCAACGCCCGTGTGGGCGCGGGCGACAAGGCACAGCTGGTTTGTCGCCAGCCGGTCGGCTCCGACGACGCGCAGCAGCAGCCACACTCCCCAGCGCAGAATGTGGCGCACAACTCGGAGCAGCGGGCCGGCGGGCGCAGCGCCGCCGTCAGAAAGCAGGCGGTCCACGGGTGCAGGACTGTTGGCAGCGACTGACGTCACACGGACATCACCGGGGCAGCGCTCTGCAGCCGCAGCGGCGAGTTGGCTTGCTGGTGTCATGCTCGGCGCATGCAATGTCTTTTGCTCGGTCGGAAAGCACCGAGCGAGTAACGTTTTCTTGTGCACGAAATTGTGCTGCATCAGCACCACCGGACGGCTTTCATTTAAACACGTGCAAGTCTCAGTCCTCGTTTTCTTGAAGCACAAAAAATTTCATCTGACTCAACTCATCAGAAGCTCGGCACGGCTCCATCACGCACATGTAATTCAGTTGTTAAGGATGCCGGCTTTGCAAGGAGGTGGCTCATGCCCTGCGTATGATGCTGATGATGAAGCCTATCAATATACTACGTACCCGATGCAAACGTTGCAGCATAGAAATCGCCGGTCAGCGGAGCATCATTGACCGTGATGACCTGCGCTCTGAGTTTGCTGGGGGGTTTGCGTTCATACGTTCAGCCCAAGGCCCATGGATCCAGACGTGGGTGATGTGAGAGGGGCTACGGCATTCCGTGCCTAGGAAGATCTTGCAAGTGACCATACGGTTGTGTGGAGGTTGATGACACAGTGACTGATTGCACACAAAAGAGTTTCGGACGCCCGGGGGGGGGGCTGTCAGTCAGAGCCGGCCTGCATTTTGCTGGTGCCCCCATGATGTGCTCGCTCTTACGGAAGAATTGTGGAATCCCAATCTGTGGCGTGCAGAGTGCACCAGAGGCCTCGAGTAATTTGTGTGGTGGTGCCAATGTCACACAAACTCAGAGGCAGCCGGCTGGGCCATGTCAGCAACAATGCAGCCCCCATGCGCTTATTGGCATCACCATAACCCACTGTCCACGCTTCGACCAGTGCGTCTGGGAATACAGGTTTTTTTTGAACTTATTCGGGTAAAAGACCGCTGTCCCGATTTCGCACACTCTCTCGACAGTGTCGCGCCGCAAGACGCCAACCATGATGCGCGCGGGCCCCCTCCCTGCCACCACTTGCACGGCGGAGAAGCGGCTGGAGGCGCTGATGATGGAGCATCACCGTCATGGCTTACAGCAGAGGGGTGAGATGCGCGGACGGCACGCCCTGTTGCGCTGTGCAAGACTCCGGATGTGCCACAAGTGCTTGATGAACACATGACATCAGCAGGCCTCCACGCATGGCGACGGGACGGCTTGCTCGTGTTGTTGCAGTGTGTTTTGTCACTTGTGCAAATGTAAAACCGGCGCACAACCCGAACTCACGAACTGCTGCGCGCTATCTTCGCACGCAGATCCTCCACGCGTCGAGCCTCCACAATCGACACCTCCGGACGTACAAGCTGAACTGACTGCCAACGTCCACAAGCACGACAGCATCACTCCCAAAGCAAAGCACATGCGGGAGCGTGACGCTGCAGTCGCCAAGGACCAGGCCGCACGGGTGCGTGCGCAATCAATGAATCAAGAGGGCGGGGGCACAGCAGCACGCCCTTTGACAGCGAGCATGCGGCGGCTTATAGCGCAAAAATGCAGCCACATATGCTCCCGTTGCTCAGTGTTTGGCCGACCTGCCTGAAGCATCACTATCATCGCTGTGTGCTGTCGATTCTGCACTGACCGCACAATTCCACCCACTGCGCCCCTGTAGTCCATGGGCACTGAGCCTGGCGGCACGATCAACCGGGGCTAGAGCAGGAGGACAAATAGGGCTGTGGCTGTTGCAGGTAGGATTATTATATTCGGCACATTGCGCTGTGTTTGCTGCGCTGCTCCCCCTACGCGCTACCTGTTGGCATTATAGACGGAGGCGGCAGACTGCCACAGCAGCAGTTCTGTTGCCTTCTGATTCCTGCGAGACACTGCCACATGACTGGCCCGGCACGGGCCGGTCAGCGCTCCACACTGGCGCGTGTGGTGCATGGCAGAGTAACGGGCTCTTGGGGATGAACATCACATGTGGTTGGATATTGGGGGTGCCCTGCGACACACGCCATTCTTACACACGCGATCATACACGCACCTGCGCACGCACCCACGCAAATTCTGCATAACATCAATCATCTGTGTCCCAGGCACGATTGAGCTGACACAGCTTGGCAGCCACTGGCCAAGACCTGCAGCTGCTGGTGGCGATGTCCTGCAACGGGAGGTGGAAGCGGTGTGGTGCTGGACCGTCCGGACGAAAGCGCTGAGCTGCTTATTCGTGGTGCCGTGTGATGAACCTACGATCCCTGACTGTGTCAGCAGAAAAGGGGACGCACTTTGTACCCCTGTTTGCAGCCATCACAGTGGGCATCACCTTGTATTCTAAATTGCAGCCACTATGACTTTGTACCTTTAAACATGCTTCTAGAGCTTTGTGGGTTCAACCTCAGCTCTTTTGCTTGGCTTGCAGGCGTATGACAGAAGTTTGCAGCACATTTGCTTGCTTTCCCCACAGCTCGATTGCGACAGGGTTAGTTCCTCGTATTCTTTGGCCTCCTGCACTGGTCAGTCTGGCCCTCCCTGGTTTTGAGTACAAAAGCACATTGGTCTGAAACGTGCCCATGTGCAACTATCTGGATTGTCCAAGTTTGTACCAGAATGGTACTGATTGATGACAGCATTGCAATGCATGTGCCGCCAGCAGGACGTGTCTGTCACACCGGGGTGACAACAGCTCATGTACCAGCAATGCTGCTGTCGCCCTGCCATTGTGGTTCCGGCATCTGGATGTTCCAATGCTATATTCACCGCCGTAAACCTGGCATCTTACATAGTTCACAGATCGTGCTGATCTGCTCGCTGTCCCTAGTCGTTCACAATGGGGGACCGGAGCAACCCGCTGCAGCAGGTTGCTGCCAGCATTGGCAGTGTCGTCACAAACCTCAGCAGCAACTGGGGTGGCTTCGGCCAGCAGCTACGGAGTGAGGCAGGACGGGCAGCGGCCGGCGTGCAGCTCTTTCCAGCCAACTTGCGGCGGCAGCAGCAGCTATTCTGCAGCTCATCATTGGCGCCAGCTTTGGCGGTGAGGCGAGGCTAAGTTTGAGTGTTGGCACCCGTGTCCATGCAAAGCGATCTAGAGTGCACGATCGACACTCTCTGACATTTCACGTATGCCGTATCGCAGTCGCTTTCACTTGGTGGTCGGGGAGCTGCACAGCGCAGCAGCAGCATCGGCGGTGCCTCAGGCAGCGGCAATGGCGCTGGCCAAAGCAGCAGCAGCAGCAGCAGCAGCAGCGGCAGCAACGGGGGGCGGCAACTGAGCTTTGGGCAGCCGCTGTTCGACTTGGCGATGCCAAAGGACGAGGTCAAGGCGCGGCTGGCGCCCATCCCTGTCTACACTGTGGCCAATCCCAAAAACGAGTTTGTGCTCGTGGCGGGCGAGGTGAGGTTTTTGCAGTCCCGTGACGGGGAAGGGCGGAGTTCTGGTCACTTCTCTTGGCAGGCAGCTGTGCTCGTGGTAGGTGGCAGGATTTGGTGACATGAGCAGCTGTGGTGACGCTCCTCAGGCATCGCTACCGCCAGCGAGGTGCCCCCACCTGCGCAAGAGCACGGACGTGCGCTTGCCCCGGGAAATGGCGGAGTGCTGTCGCGGCGCTGAGTGCGGCGCGTTGCCGCGCCTTTGCAGAGCAACACGCAGCTGGGGTTCTTCTTCTTCAGAAAAGAGGACGCCGAGGCCATCATAGACAAGGTGTGTTTCACACTGGCGTGGTGTACATGCAATGGAGAGCGCATCGCCGGTTGGCCGTCGCCCTCGGAGCGAGGGGCAGGCTGCGGCGACCGCAGACCAGCGGCGCAGTGGCAAGTGATGCGCGGCGCACTGGCCACCTGCGGTCTCAAGGTTAATTCCCTGTGCCGCCTGTACATCTGATGGGGTCACCGCCCACAAAATGCCGCTGCTCCTATGTTGGCCAGATCCGGGAGGAGAACCCTCGCCTGGCGCGCGACAGCAAGGTGCTGCGGGTGACCATGGACAACGTCTATGAGGTGGGGCCCTGCTTTGGGGCGTCAAGAAGGGATGGGTTGGCTGGAGGCAGTGGGACCGGGG